TTGGTCTGCCCATGACTCCCAGGGTATTGCTCTGCCCAGCTCATGAGGAATCAGCTCAGGGAGCCGGAAAGTCACCGCCAGTGCTGATACTCTGCCCTCTGAACACACACAGACTGTGTGCTAGTAGACTTTGTGGTAAGTCGTCCTAGAAGTGACGGACCTTAGTATCTCCCAATATTGCATCACATCTCTGACCCTCTAAGCCTCAGAGTTTTTTGTGTTTTAAAGAGTATATTTAGTTTTCTTTTTTGCAGTGCTGGGAATTGATGGAAATTTTATTTTTGTTTTTGATGTTGTTATTGAAGTTTTTAAAGGAGTGTATATATCATTGCTTTTGAAGTTTTAGATAATTTCATATTCACAAAAAATTGTAAGAATGAAGAACTTCCATATACCCTTTATCCAGGTTTACCAATATGTATGATTTATCCCACTTTTATAATTCTCTTCTCTCTCTCTCTCCATGTACACACACACACACACACACACACACACACACACACAAACACACACATCTCACATATGTGTATATTAGTGGAAGCAGCTTCTATGTGTATACATGTGTGTTTCTACATATATATGAATTGTATATGTATGAATTCATACCTATGGTTCTTTTTGGAATCATTTGAGACATCATATGGTGTCTCCTTACCTCTAAAAACCTTGGCATGCATTTCCTAAGAACAAAGATACTTTCTTATGTAAGTGCAGTACAGTTACCAAAATCAGGAAATTTAGACATTGATACCATACTATTTTTAATTCATAATTTGTATTCAAATCTCATCAAATATAGCTACTTTTTCTTAGTCCATATGATCCAAGATCAAAAGCTGCATTTCATTGACAAGTTTTTGTTATTTTAATCTTGAAAGACTGCTGTGCCTTTATCTTTTTTTTTTTTTTTTTGCCTGTCTTTTTTTAATCATCAACATATTTTAAAAGGATAGGATGCCCCTCAATTTCAGCTGTTATGGTTTGGGTCTAGATGTCCCCTCAAAGCCTTATGCAGTCACAGGGTTTTGTTGTTTTTGCTGCCATAAAACTGTTGCCCCTCTACCATATGCCACCTTGCGTTGGAGCCCGCTGATTATAGACCAAAATTTCCATGAACTGTGAGCTAAATAAACCTTTCCCCTCTTAATTTTGGGTGTCAGGTATTTTGTTTCAGCAATGAGGAAAAGTAACTAACATAGAATTTAGTACCAAGAGTGTTATTGCTGTGACTGTACCTGAGCATGTGGTTCAGAGGCCTTTAGACAGCTTGTGGGAAGAGTTTGGAAAGGTACAGAGATGCTGGCTGAGAAAGTAGCACTGGAATGTCTTAGGCTGTACTATATGGGAGATTCTAGTCAAAGATCAAAAGACCAGAAAGCTGATAGAAATCTTGCTCAAGACCAAGCTCAAGAGGCTTCTGCGGGAAGGACTTCATTGGCAGTTGGATTCCATATGATGTATGTTATGGATTGGAAGAAAGTTTGTCTGCATTTTGCTTGGGTCCAGAGACTTTGCCTGTGACTAAGATTAAGGGTAGCAAACTAATCTTGTAGAAGAAATTTCAAGGCAGTCAAATGTTGAGGCAAAGACACGGCTAAGGTTGGGGGCTTTTAGCCAGATCCATGTTGAGAATCAAGAAAAAGACCCTAGCAGAATGACTTAAAGTGTTGTGAGTTTGGACAGAAAGCAAGCTCCAGTAAAGAGTGGAATACAGATAGAGCAGAAGAAATCTTAATTGCTAAGAAGGAACAAGAAAATAAAAGAGATGGTCTGAGGGTATCACAAGAAGCAGTGGGACTCTACCCTTTGCAACCCTGAAATTGCAAAAGTGAAAGACTGCTTTGAGAAGAAGCAAAGCTCAGAGCACCATGTTCTAGAATGGTGGCAGCATAGAGAATTTGTTCCTCAGAATTGGATTCAGAATGCTCAGCAATCCAGGCACTCGACTCCTACAGCCAAGGGAGAAGGGAGCCTGGTTACTGCTCCAGCTAGCAGCAGACCTTGGCACAATCCATGTAGTGCTGGTTTTAGGCACATGCAGAATGTAAGAGTAGTGGGATCAGGATGGCTTCCAGATCCTCCAGATTTTAGGAGGCCTGGGAGGCCAGGCAGTGTGTCCCTGAGAAGGCAGTGTATGAAGCTGTGAGTGTGAAGCCAAAGATGTAACAGAGACTTCAGAAGTTTAGAGAAGCCAGAAACGTGAATCTCTGGGGGAAAACTGCAAGGAGGTAGAAAAGCAGGCCCAAGGGGAAAGCCCTGGGAGCTACAAACACTAGCAGTGCCCTTTGGAGTTCACAGGTTGCCACCACATTGTTTTGGATGCTGCACATGTTATTACAGGACGTAACGTTTGCCCTGCTGTATTTTGGACTTGCTTTGGTCCCATTCCTTTGTATCTGCATTAGTAATATTGGGAATGGAAATGTCTATCTTGTGCCACTGACTACTGGAAGTGTTTAACTTTGTTCTCATTTGTAGAGAGGCTCACAACTATGAGTTTTTCTTAAATCTGAGAGGAGACTTTTGATTTGGACTTTTAAGCAAGGATGAAACTGTTGGGACTTTGGCAGCCCTTGCAGATGGACTAAATACCATTTGTATGAAGAGATGTACATGCATCTTTGGGGTTCCAAGGACAAAATGTTATGGTTTGAGTCTAAATGTCACCCAAAGCCTCATGCAGTCATAGGGTTTCTTCTTCAGAGGCAGCTGAATCTAGAGTATATGATTGATCTACAGTGCAATGCTGGGATTAAGGTTGGATGACTGCTGGATCAATTCATTGATTGGATTGGCACTCCACTAATCCTGGTAGATTGGATACCTCTCCTCTCCTTTCTTGGTGCTTTTGCTGTTTTCTGATAACATAAAATGTTGCCCCTCTGCCATGTGCCACCCTGCTTTGGAGTCAGTTAATTATGGACTGAAACCTCCATAAACTGCTGTGAGCTAAATAAATCTTTCCTCTCTTAACTTTGGGAACTGGATATTTTATATCAGCAATAAGGAAAAGTAACTAACACATCAGCTTTGTTAATGTTGCCTAAATATTAGACTGAGTTATGTGGTTTTTGGCAGTAATATTGTTCAATCAACTTGTTCATCTAAGAGCAACACATGAAGGAGCATATTATTTTGGTTTGCCCACAACTCAAATACAGAGTCACTATCATGACTTTGATCATCATGTCCTATAGGATATGAACAAATGTTTCCTATCTCTGGATTTATGCACTATGATTGTGGGCAAAACTTAGATTCACACAATCTGTGTGATGGCCTTGACACAGAAATTACAAATTGCATGCTGACGAATACATGGCTCAGTCCCCTTCCTCAACAGCAAAGCTACCTCCTAACAAGCAGCTTACTACAGTCCCATTAGCAAGTCTAGCCAAGACTAGCAGAAGAGCAACATAAATCAGTGGTTCATATAGCTGGGAGCTAAATAAACAGTCCTATTAAGGCACAATGGTTTAGAGTGTTGTGTTGCATCACAAGAGCTAACCGATGCTTCTTGTATGCAAGGGGAAAGAGCTAGGACTCTATCATTTCAGATCATTGAAGAAATATTTGACCTGGTTTTCTTCCAGCTCCTGCCTCCTTCAGAGACCTGACTCTGCCTATGTTTGTGACTCAAAGCATCATTTTAATTATGTAGTTTGACAAAAGTTCAAGGACAAATCACAGTGCCACATCTTTTTGTTGCTTGACTGGAGAAATCAAGAGGCTCCCTTAATACTCTTCCATAAAAATCAGTTAATGAAGAGAGTTCCTGGATAGAGATGCCATAGCAGAAGAGAAGCTTCTCACTAATAAACTGATGATCACCTGGTAGGGCTTAAGTTTCACCATGGCTCTTACATTCACCAGCTCCTCTAACTTCTTCCCTGGAGATTGGAAGTTGGCTCATCTGGGATGCAGCCTAAGGATTTGTATTTTTAACAAGTGCATCTGCTTGCTATTTTTAATGACCAAAGAAGTTTGGGAAATCCTGCATTATACAAGTAGTTCTCAGTATAATTTGTGCTTTAAAAATCATTGGGATTTAAAAGACAAAAAACAAAAATACAAGCTTAACACCCAAAATATTTACAGCAGAATTTCCAGGGCTGGCACCAAGGCATCACTATTTTTAATACTTCCTAAGATGAGTCGCATGCAGCCAGTCAGAGCCTGTGTTGACTTCTATGACTAAGGATTAAGAAATCGGCCTTTTCTCCATTAGCATGAAATCTCCCCTTCAGCAGCATGTGTTTCTGATAATGAAGGTGCACTTCTTTTGGTGCCCATGAAGTGCTGCCCAGGATTATTCTTTGTGGTTTTCTCCCGCACCACTCAGTCGATATTTCAGAAGGAAGCTGAATTTTCCTTTCTAAGAGCTATTTTCTAAGTTCTATAAATTTCCACCTGGGGAGAAAGAACTTTTTTCTTCTTGCTGTGCTGTTTGCTATCACAAGAGGCTGAAGTGCAGGTTCTGAGCATCAGTGACAGGAGCAGATGTGCCAAGGCTCTGCCCTTTCCCTGGAGACCCAGAGCATTCCCACACACAGGCCTCTGGGTAGGCATCTGTGCTTCTTTGCTGGAGGGCAGCACTTAGCTTACTGGAATCTTTTGCCTATTCAAACAAACAAACAAACAAACAAAACTAGAAGAGCCTGGAAATCTACATCTCCTGAAGTAGCCCTTCAGCACTGACTGACAGGCGCAGCAGCATGGGTTCTCCAGCTCACTCACTCTGCCTCCAGATATTTCCTGAGAGACCAGGCCAAGGTTTCCCACCTCATCCACCACTGTGAGCTTCACTTAGTTTTGTACCTCTGCCTGGCCACATTTCCTTTCCTATCCAGTTGTTCAGTTCCCAATTGGCTTTTCTTGGAAGTCTTCTTGTAAAGCACATTCAGAGTGTCCTCACCTCAAAGACTTCTACCAAATCGATTCTAAAGCAGCAGCTGCCAAGACTGCACCTCCAGGACCTTCACAAAGATGGCGAAACTGACCTTCATCCTTAATACACAGGGCGCTGTACATGCCTCCAGGAGCTGGGCTGTCCTCAATGCGCACACCAACAGCTCTCATGGTCTGCTGCTCACCATCCCCTTTGCTACACACAGTTGTCCTGGAACAAAGGAGACACCAGGTTAGCAGAACTTCTCTGAGGTGAATAAAGGGGAAATGAAGAACTCTTTTCTGCTATCAGCTCTGTCCCAAATGATATTTCTTCTGGTTCATGAGCTTTGACTGGAAGTCAACATGGAAACATTTCCCCAAACAAAGGTCAACATTCAAGAAGACAGATGATGCTTGTGTTGAAGATATAGGTATCAAACCAAGTTTCAGAGGCAACACACTGTTGGTCTCTGCTAACATATTTTAACTTCATATTTCTTAAGCTTCATTTTCATATTTCTTAAGCTGGGTCATTAGTTCGTGAACCTTCAGCTTTCTTCGTTTTCTAACACAAACACTTAATGTGCTGTATTTCTTGCTAGGTATACTTTTAATAGCACTAGATTAGTTTGGGTATAGTTTTGACATTATACAATACTAAATATGTGCTAAATTCCATTATAATCTAAATTTTGCCCCATGATTTATTTAGGAATATCTTTTGTAAACAGCAAATAGTTAAATTTGCATGTGCCTGTGGCCTTTGTTCCTTGGGAGGCTGAGTTAGGGGGATGGGTGGAGGGGATGAGTTCAGATCAGCCTGAGTACAACAGAAAGACTGCACATGAAAAAATAAAAACAAACAAACAAGCCTAACCTAAGACAAACAAAAACCATTTGACATCTGTTTTCTAATATGAGCATCTGTCTACTTATAATTAGTTTAATCACCACTTTCTTTTCATGTAGATCTGCTATCGTACATGTCCTACCCATTGTTCTATCTTTTATCGTTCTTCTTACCTATTTTGGGTTGTTTGAATTCCTTTTTGGGGAAGAGCACTGGATTTTTCCTCTGTATGGATCTGACTATTACTTACCTTTTACTGTTCATTTAAGTAGAACCTAGAAGTTACTTCTACCTTCTCCCTCAGTAATACAATTTTAAAAGCTATATGTTAACTTACTTAGAATACTCTGACACTCTAATGCACTGAAACGTCTTCCAGGACACTGACAGTTTATCACACTGAAATATCTTCCAGGACACTAACAACCTAATGCACTGAAATATGTTCCAATGCACTGATAATCTGTTTTTTTTTTTTTTTTCCTTCTTATACTAGGTATTGAACCCAAGGTCTTTAAACTGAACTATATATCTCTACCCCTTTTCTAAATTTTCAGACAGGTCCTCACCAAATTGCTAAGTTCCCTGGATATGCTTGAACTTGTGATCTTCCTGCCTTAGCCTTCTAGGATGCTGGTATTATAGTCATGTGACACCATGCCTTACTTTTATGACACTTTTTTTTTTTTTTGTCTGTCTTTTTGAGACAGGGTCTCACTATGCAATTCAGGCTGGCCTTTAATTCACTTTGTAGCCCAGGCTGGTCTTGAACTCACAAGGATCCTTCTGGCTCAGCTCCCCAGTGTTGGAATTACAGGGATGTACCACCATGCCTGGTTCTGTGACACTTTTTAATCTGATGTTAAATCTGTTTTAAATCTCATCTTAAATTCATCAAGTTCTTAATTTTAGTTACTGTGTTTTTCATGTCTAGAGTTTCCGTTTGGTTGTTTTTAATAGATTCACATCCTCTGCCAAACTTCTTGCATTTTATATATTTGAACATGTTTGTTTATTTGTTCATTTTGAGACAGTCTTGCTATGCATTCTAGACTGGTCCTGAACTCACCATGTTGCCCAGGCTGGCCTTGAACTCATGATGATCCTCCTGCCTCAGCCTCCCAAGTGCTGGGATTACAGACATGCAGCATGCCTGGCTTATCTTTAAAAATTTTAGGAGTAGTAAAAGTCTGCATCTACTGGTGTCAATAAGTGAAACTTCTATTAGCTACCACTCCTCTTGGATTCTATTTTTTTTTTTTTAACCTTGTCTCCTCATGTGACTAATTATTTTGCATTGTGGGAGAAGTCCTACAGTGACTGAAATTGCTAGTTGAAATAAATAGAAGCATTGCATAATAATCTTTTTCTCAAAGGGGCATTTGCATTGATTCTTCTAGACTCCAGGAGCCTGGGAACCAGCACCCAGAATCACTCCTATCCAAATCCAAGGTTTTTTAGGATTTGATGGCTTACAACTGCTCCTAAGAAGGCCTGTGGCCAGTTACCTCTTACCCCTGGAGTACAGCTCAGCATGGTGCAAACCCAAAGCACAAGTGGCTTGCCAGTTCCCCTCTGTGCAGAAGTTGAATTGAAATCACTTAGCTTTTCAAGACACCTTTATGAAATATGCAAACATTCCCAGGAAACTGGTGGCCCCAAACTCTGAATTCATCATTCTAGATCTTCCTTTTTCTCTGGATTTATGCATCTTCCTTTTTCTCTGGATTTATGCATATACTCAATATCAATTCATAGAGACACAGGTCAGATCTGCTATAAATCTATTATGTCATAACCATAAAAGGCACCAAGAACTTTAATAATTGCTTTCCAGTGTCTACATGGTTAGAGAGCCATGCAGAAAAGACCCACTGTGAAATATACATACTAATGGTTAGGTACTTACTGCTTCCAGAAATATTAAAAATTGTAATGTGTTGTATAATAATATAGTATAATATAGTATATGCATGTTTTCCTTATAAAGAAGTGTCACCTTAACAGGCAGAGGCTTTTCATGTGACTTTTAGAAAACTCACAGAAGACAGACCTTTCCAGTGACCTAGTCAGACGGTAACTGCTTAGGATGTCTGGGACAATTACTGAGCCAGGCACTGTCCTAATAAGTACTATATATATATATATATATATATATATATATATATATATATATATTTGGTACCAGGAATTGAACTCAGGACTTTGCACTTGCCAGGAAGGTGCTGTGCCACTGAGCTATATTCCTGGTCCCTTTTTCTTTAATTTTTAAAAATTGAATTTATTTACTTAATTTCTTGCTTTTTACTGGTTAAATAGATGAATGAGTTTAATTTTGGCAGATTCATACATGCACATATCATACTTTGATCATTTTCATTCCCCCCTCATTCTCTGGCATCATACCCCAGCTTTCAGGGCTGTTTCAAAACCTCCATCCCACGTTCCAAATGAGTATCTGCAGGAAAAAGGGTATAAACAACATATACTAAACAATTAACAGCTATCACCTCTGCGGTGCAGAAGAAGTGAGAAACTCATTTTATGCATGTCTGTATCACTTGAAATTTTTACAACAAATTTTAGTATCTTAAAGAGAAAACTCAAATTAAGAAAGAGGGCAAAAACTGTGATATAACTCCAGATGAATGTTTTTGTGTAAGAATTCAAAACAAGAGTGTGCTGAAAGCCCCTACTCACTGCACTTTACCTACCCTGGTACTTCCCCAGGACAATTACTGAGTGTCCATCCGAGCCTACTGGGGTAGCTGGGGCAAGAAGGAAAGGAGAACTCACCCGAGGGTGCCATCTGCCAGCCAGCCCGTGGTGCACACCGCAAAGGCACAGTCCTGGACCACCCTGCGCAGCTCATCCACAGACATCAGGTGGGCACCCCTACTCTTACAGAAGAGCTGAGCTGTCTCCAGGTCCAGGCCCTGAGTGCTGTTTTGAGACTCCAACACAAACAGCTTCCCTGTGTGGGGACAAGCACAAACACACATGGGCTCCAGGGTTCACTGCTGACTGGCAGACACCCAAAACGTAGCTTCCCGGTTGCTGGAGACCCAACACACCGCATCCCAGGGACCAAGTGATGACAAGTACACCAGTGTTTTCATTTTTGCTCTAATTTTAATTTTTATTTTATTAGATAGGGTCTCACTATGTTGCCCAGACTGGTCTGGAACTTGTTGGGTAATGATCCTTCTGTCATCTCCCCAGTAACTGTGACTACAGGCATATACCACCACACCTGGCTTGCTACGGTCTTCTTCAAAACAAACAAGCAAAACCAGCTGCTCTGGCATGTTGCAGGTTATGTTATCTGCATATGTTATTCACATTTTAAAAAGGTGCTTTGCTTTGCAATCCACAGGGCAGCAAGGCTCAGTGTGTGAAGTTGCTTGGTCTCTAAGGCACTAACTTAAGTCTCAATTTTGCCTTCCTCTGCTTCCTACAGTCCTGAGGTGACTTCTTTCAAAGAAGGTGGCTTTAGGTCTCTTGAGGATCTTCCCACAAAAACTTCACTTCTATCTGCTGTCCTCTTCTGCTGGACAAAACAGTCTAGGACTTGTGTGGTGCGCCTCACTTCCTGCAGCATATCAGTCTGTGGGTGTGCAGAGGGCTCCAAAGAAATTATGACAGATGTAGGAATGAGAGCATGGGTTTACGCAGAGGTGGAAGCCCAGCCTCCAGGCAAAAAGGAGCTCCAGGCAAGAAAAGCACTGGGTAGGAGGGAGCATATGGTCCCCAATATCTTTTAGGATGGATAAAGTAATGCCATGGGTGGCTCTATCTAGTTTAACATAAAGCCAGAGAAGAAAAAACAAAACAAAACCAGGTAGAATGAGATACTTCCATTTGTCAGCACTTTTGTTTTCTAGTACTGAGGACTGAACCCAGGGCATTTGCTTTGTGCTATATCCCCAGCACCGTATCCCCTTATTCTGAGACAGGATCTTGCAAAGCTGCCCAGAGAAAACTCAAACTTTTGATTCTCCCACCTCAACTTCCCAGAGTGCTGGGATTTACAGCACTATGTCACCACTTCTGGCTAGCAAATTTTTCACAACGATCTTACAAGAATAAGACACCTCACTATGGTAACTACTATTATGTCAGGCTACCTGGTGGTGAAACACAATGATGCTTAAATTGTTCGGTTCTGACCTGTGTTGTTCTATTGATATGTCCTCTTTTATCTCAATCTCCTCCTTTTTTTAAAAATTAATTAATTTATTTTTTAATTAAGGGAAAATTAAATTAAAAATGGCGGGATATATTATAGTAACTTTTTTGTTTTCCTATTAACCTGATTTGAACCCCGGTATTGTTCTCCCCATCTTGTTCTGACTGATTTTACTATATTCTGTTTTGTTTAATAGTATCAAGTTTGAGGGTATAGGCAACCACGTTGAAGGCAACAAGATATTCTATGATGCCCATTATGGTTTGACTATTATCTTCTTTGGAAGTCCTGTAAGGTCTCCAATGTGGGTTCTATTGGTCTTGTTCTGTACTGTTTTGTTCAATTCTATTATACCAGATGATACAGGCAACTCTTTTTAAGATAGCAAGAGGCATAATGCTAACCATTGTTGATCACCTGGTATTTTCTTTTTACATTATATACTATGTCCACCCTCCTGTTCTGACTCTGTTTTGCTTTGTCACATTGAGTTTTGTTTTGTTTTGTTTCATTTGTTCTGCTTCTTTTTTGTTTGTTTGTTTTATTTTTTCCTCTTCAAAGAAAAACTTATAAGAACTGTGGGAGTAATAAAACCCAAATGTGTAATTGTTATCATAAAAAAGAGAGGAAAAGAAAGTGATCTAAAGGATACAACTGCATGTATATTTAAGTGTGTAGGATAGAAAACCGTATTACTGAGCTTTTATTGGGTCATTGAACAGAACTGTCTGCAATCTCACTGTATTAATGTCCACTTTGTATGCTTTAATTTTGTAATCTGGACAACTGTTTCTGAGATGACAGTATGTAATCTATTAACTAGTGATTTTTTACTGTATATTTTTTCTTTTGAAATTCTGTATTACTTGTACCCTTTTACTGTTTTGTTTTGCTCTTTAAATAAAATTTTTTAAAAAAAGAACAACAAAAAAAGAATAAGACACCTGACTGCACATTAGACTACAGAATACATATCATTTGGGGCACACACAGAACATTTGTAAAAATAACCAAATATTAAGATACAAAGCAAATACAAAAAACAGTCTCAAAAAACCAAAATCACACCAAGCATTTTTTTAGACTACAACACAAGCTAGTATCTTTTTTTAAAAAAATTATCAAATACATACATGACATCTATTATGGGCATGGTGCTGTTTAAATTGTATTATAAATATTCCTTACGTTAATCCTAAAAGCAACATTGATATTGGTGCTATTATTAACCCCATTTTTTAGCATAATACTTGTTCAAGATCACATAGTAGAGATACAAAACCAGGCAGTTTGGTTCTCGGTCAATGATTTGTTTTTTCTTTTTCTTTTTCTTTCTCTTTTTTTTTTTTTTTTGGAACTGGGGATCAAACTCACAACCTCACACTCGCCAGGCAGGCACTTATGCCACTGAGCTAAATCCTCAGCCCTGATTTTTTTTTTTTTTTTTTTCTTGAGACAGGGTCTCACTGTGTAGTTCATACTGGCCTTGAGTTCAGTGTGTAGCCTAGGCTGGCCTCAAATGCACAGCAATCCTCCTGCCTCAGCCTCCCAAATGCTGGAATAATGGACATACTCCACCATGCCTGGCAATTTTCTTTTCATTAGTTTACATTTGGAATACGTGCTAGTAATATCCTGGCAATGACCATTAATCACTGTGCTCTTATATTGCCTGTCAATAACAAAGGAGTAAGTAGGCAATCGCCTTGAGTATGGAAGTTCAAGATATACTTCTAACTGAACCATGTGCTCAAAGAAACAATCAGAAAGCATTCTAATTTGAGGGACAAAAACTTATGGAGAAACTAGTGTCATGTTACAAAGAGGTGTAACTAAAATATCAATGATCTAAGACTTTCATCTGTAAAACCTAAGAAGTCACAAAATCCACAGCTTCTAAAGAAGTAGAAAGCAGGATATAATACAGAGTGGAAATCAATGAGTGTAAAGGCAAACATACACTAGAGAAAATAAACAAAGCCAGAGACTTGAGTTTTTTCCAAAAAGAATAACAAAATTTATAATCTCCTGACAAGACTAATCAAGGTAAAAAGCAAGAAAATACAAATGATCAATATCAAAATGAAAGGCAGTATCTTTATATATCCCAAGGATGCTGAAATGATGATTACAGATGATTAGGTTAGGTATGCCAGCATGTTTGACAATTTAGATGAAATGAACAAATTTCTTTAAAAAAAAAAACTTAGACACTCTGACACAAATAAAATTTAAAATCTGAATATTCTTTTGTCTACTAATGACACTAAATTCATTATTCAAACTTTCCCAGAAGAAATTTCCAAATATAAATGACCTTATTACCAAAACCCACAAACCAAAAAAAAAAAAACAAAAACAAAAAGTCTCACCTTATAATAACTTTCTAAGAATAGAAGAGGCAAGAACTTTCCAGTTCATTTAGGAACTGCCATAACCCTGATGCCAACACCTAACAAGAAATGAAATTGTAGGCCAATTTATTATACAATAGAATTAATGTTGCCCTCTCTTCAGGTTCAGTTCTGAATTTTCTCAGTGTAAAAATTTTCCCTGGCATTCTGTGCACACCTGGTTTCAAAGACCTTACATAAATGACAAATCCTTACATAAATAACACATTTTTCTCTTCAGATCAAACCTTTTCCATTCACTCTGTCCACCTCTGTCTTTTTCTTGGACAACAGAAATAATACCTGGTAGGTTTCTCTACACTCAGTGTTGCCCTGTCCAAACTGCCCTTCCTATATTACAGTTAGGGTGATTGATTCAGAATTCGTGTGTGAGGCTGGGCATGGAGGCACAATCCCAGCACTTCCAAGGTTGAGACAGGATTACAAATTTGAGCCCAGCCTGGGGAATTTAATGAGACCCTATCTCAAAATGAAAACAAAACAATGAGGCTATAGTTCAGTGGAAAGGCCTGGGTTCAATCTCCTGTTCAAAAGAAAGCGACAGCCAACTCTGATCAGTCACTCTGCTAAGACCACTGCAACAGCCGCCTGTCCTAGAATCTCCAGGTCACGGTGGGTGCCCTGCCCTGCCACTTTCTCTAGCTTCATCTCAAGCCGCTTCAGCTCACAGGTTCTGCTTCAGTCACTCTGGTTCTTAACCACAAGTCCCACCTGTAACTACCACTGAAAAGTTCTTCTAGTACCACGCATTCCCCTCCCAGGGCACCCTTCCCTCTCTTTTTTCCTCCCGCCAGCCTACTCAGCTTTCGGATTCTCCTGAAACAAGTCAAATTCTTCCAGGTTAGCTCTCCTGAAGGGCAGAGCGCCTTCTTTAATCTTACCCATTACAAAATTGCAGTTCCACATTTCTTTTTGGGATTATTTGTCTAATGACTCTTTTCCCCTTTGTGTTTAAGCTTTCTGATAGAAAGTACCTATTTCACTTCATCATTCTACCTTCATCAGCAATGCTGGTTACATAGTAGAGATTCAGTAAATAGCTGTTGAATCAATTATCTTTCTCTGTAATTATTAGTCAAAACAGGTTTCTGCATTAAGTTAATGTAAGATTTTTTTCTGTTTCAAAAGTGTTTAAAAGTGTAGTAGCAGGTCTTCATTATGTATGAGATGCGTATCTAATCAGTCAAATGTAAAGTAAATGTATCTCACTTGTATTGTTACCAACTTATTTTTTAAACATTGTTTCTGTCCCAATCCATGCCTTCAAATATCTGCAATGCATCACAATTTATTTAACAATATTTCTTTCTCCTCTGTCACGTAGTACACAAATAAAGTGTGGGCAGGGGTGGTAGTTGTATTTAGTAAAGAATCCCTTCATATATAGTTTATGATTTTTCAATGGCTCTATTATAAAGTGGGAGCTCAGAAAATGGGATTTCTTAAAAGGAAGTGTATTTATGATTCTGCATTGAGGAAGCAGAGATAAGGAAAGGGAGAATGGGGAAAGAAAGCATTTTTGGCAGTCACTAACGAAGAGACATGGGCTTCTCTTTACTTTCCCTCTGTCCAATGATGGTTCTGCTTTCAGTGTTTGTTGTCTCATAACAAGCCAGATAGTCACAAAAATCCTTTTCGATATGGCATATCACTTACAAACGGCCTGCAAAAACATTTTTCTAAAGGAAATAAAATTGGCCCCAAAGTATTCATTGTTCAAAGTTAATACAAATCCAATTCATTCTACTTGCATTTCTTAGTTTAGTTTTTATAACTACATCAGGCCAAAAATACTAAAGAATTACCAGTGGACCGACTGTTAATAGATATGAGGTTTCATGGTGGGTAGGAGTGAATTAGAATTAGTTTCACAAAAATAGTGTGAATGCAGCTCAATGATTACACTAAAAAAAAGCCAATGGAATGTGTATTTTAAATTTTTATGTAAATTTTATGTGAATTCTCTCTCAATTTAAAGAATTAACAGTGGTCACTAATTGCTTTGAAAATGAAAAACGTTTTGTCTCTAACCGTGAAGATCTGCAGCCATGAGTTATCCTTAACTAGAAAGCTTTTCAAGTATGGACTCTACAACAAAGAGCATAAAAAGGGTAAGATAGGGGCTGGGAATTTAGCTCAGCGGCATAAGCACCTGCCTTGCAAGCAGGCGGTCCTGGGTTCGATCCCCCGGTATCGCTTTAAAAAAAAAAAAAAAAAAACTCTAAGACAATGTGTAGCGTGCATTTCCCCCCCTTTCTTTAACCACCACACTTCTTTTTGCCCTTTTTTGCTCACCCATTATGTCTTGCTAGATAAGAATGACATTTTAAAATACTCAAAGCATCCATCCTAAATCAGTTGAGGACTTTTCTCCTCTACCAATCTACATTATCCTAAGTTGTGGATCTACTAGAAACACCCTACAGGTGTGAAATTTGCTTAAAATTTGCTTTCTTCAGAGCCTCCTGTGCCAAGTTCAGAGGGGTTTTGCTCCAACATCAAAGCACAGCTGGATTAGCTTTTCAAAATAGAACTGATGCAAGGTTTGATCTCACTAATTTAAGGGAAATATTAAATGTTGAATTCAGGTTCAAAAGACAAACAACCCAAAGTTGGTCGATTCTCAGGGAATCTGCTTCAGTCTGGCCCTTACTTATCACTGCTCTATCTCACGTCTTAAGCCTCAACCATTCTTTCCCCAGATTTTTCCTTTGGATCAACTACTCCTCTCCAGTTCCCTCCTCTCCCTTTATGTGGGGGATTTCCACTTATTTTTCAGATCTTCCTAGACCAAACCAAAGCACCCGAAGGCGTTCTCTAACCGCCGGCCTTGTGTCCAGCACACTTCAGTAGACCTTGAGAAGTGCGAGAGGTGGGGAATTAATCCCCATGCGTCCTGGACCTGATCTCGTCGCGGAGGCCGTTCACGGAGCCCGCGCGCCCCGGGGAAGGGAGGTGACCGAGCCTGCGGGGCGGCCCGCCGTCCGCGCACTCACCGTCCGCTCGCACCGAGGGGCGCTGAACCCCGAGCAGCAGCAGCAGCAGCAGCAGCGCCGACGGGCGGCGCGCGGGGGAGCCCGGGCCGGGGCGCTGGGCCGTCATGGTGCCGGCGTCCGCGTCCCGGACAGGGTCAGGCTTCGCCCCGGCGTCCCGCGGGCAGCGAGCACCGGGCAGCGGGGGGCCGGCCGCGGAATCCCGGGGTGTCCTCCGTGCGCGCACGGGCGGCTGCAACGCGCTCCGCCTCGGCCGGGACACGGGAGACCTCGGTGCCAGAAGGGGCTGCGCCCGCGGGCGCCGCCGGGCGGAGGGGCGGCCAGGAGGCGGGGAGAGCAGCGCGGGCGCGAGAGCCCTGCGGCCCGTGTGGCCACCTCCGACGACAGGGCGACACGGGGACCGGGCGACACGGGGACGGGGCGACACGGGGACCGGGCGACACGGGGACGGGGCGACACGGGGACGGGGCGACACGGGGACGGGGCGACACGGGGACCGGGCGACACGGGGACGGGGCGACACGGGGACGGGGCGACACGGGGACCGGGCGACACGGGGACCGGGCGACACGGGGACGGGGCGACACGGGGATGGGGCGACACGGGGACGGGGCGACACGGGGACCGGGCGACACGGGGACGGGGCGACACGGGGACGGGGCGACACGGGGACCGGGCGACACGGGGACCGGGAGACACGGGGACGGGGCGACACGGGGACGGGGCGACACGGGGACGGGGCGACACGGGGACCGGGCGACACGGGGACGAGGCGACACGGGGACGGGGCGACACGGGGACCGGGCGACACGGGGACGGGGCGACACGGGGACCGGGCGACACGGGGACCGGGAGACACGGGGACGGGGCGACACAGGGACCGGGCGAGGCCGAGCTCGGTGCCCGGCTCGGTGCTCCATCTCGTGGCTTTTCTTTTTTTTTTTTTTTTTTTAATTTGAGAAGCAAAGGCTTTATTAGGTAAAATCCAGGCTTGGTGACGAGCCAATTTGGAGACTGCGCCATCTCGTGGCTTTTCAACAGGAAAAACTGATCCGGCGTTCGCTGATAGAACAGGAGCATGGGGTGGCGAGATTCCTGTTTTCCAGCCAGGAAAGGGCACCTTCAGGGACGCGGCAGGAATCTCAGGGCATCGAGGGCTTTACCTCGAACACCCTCAGTACCATTTTCTCAACACCACAGAGCTGTGGGATTCCACATTATCGCCCAAGTCAGGGCTTCCTGACCTCCGTGGGACTGAGGTGCTTTTTGTGTGGGCTGGGAATCTACTTTGTAAAAAAGTGTTGCAGTGAATTTGCCCTGAGTTGATTCCTTCCTCGGCTCATCCTGGCCTGTCCTCTGTCTTCTTGACATCCATTCTGTCCAGTGGAGGAGGCTTTACTTTCTTCACAGAGTAGTAAAGATGATCTGGGGCACTCATAGCACTCTAGTTTACAAATCCCTAACATGTTAAGGTACCAGTCAACAACTATTGCCCGCAATATATTCTCCCCAATTTTAAACCGTGAATGAGGCCACATTTGGTCCTTAAAAATACTTCCACTTAAGACAGTTACTAACCACTGAACAGATAACGGTAAAATGGGAGATACTGTGGCCTCCAGCTAGGGTACTAGAACATAGATATCAAGGGACTGTTGTTTTTTTTTTTTTTTTTTTTTTTTTTCTTTTGAGACTAGAGGAGACAGCATCTCACTACATATTTTACACTTGCTGTGTAACCCAGGCTGGCTCTGAACTTGCTATCCTTACTCAGCTTGCAGAGTGTTGCAATTATAGGTGAGAGTCACTGTGCCCAGCCAAAAATTTACTTTTTCATGACAATAAGAATAGGAATTAGAACTCACATATAATTTGGTACAAGTGCCATTTTTCAGTTCACAATATTTTCGAAGTGCACTGAAATGATAACTCCTCCATCTTTCAAGTCTACTACTAGTGATTAATTCCTTTAGGTAAGTAGACTTTTCTGGCATTTATTTTTTAAATTTACATGTTTACAGTACATAAAATTACATTTATCATGGAGAGTTGGTACATGTACATAACAAATTCTTTTTTCCCCCCATACCTTCCTGCTAAACTTTGCTTTTAAAACATAGATATTCTGGGTGTTAAATGTAGTGACGTCTGGCAACCATTTGTATGTAACTGTAAGTGAATGTACAATTCTAACAGTCAGCTGGTATCCTAAGGGGTGAAAACTGACATGCGTGGAGCAGAGGAGACATTATAAAACATTGCTGAGAATGGGGTCAGAAGGCAACTGCAGGGTCTACCAGTTGCCCACTTGAGAGCCATGCCTGGCAATGCCTGTACACCAGCCATTTGCATCCTGCATTACTGCCTGATCCTGATGACAACTGAAACATTATCTTTGTTCACAGGCATCTCAGCCTGTCCTAACTGGGGAAGGTGGTCTCTGCTTGAGAAAACTGTATTAAACAGATACTTGCCTGTGTCCCAGAAATTCCTCTCATAGGTATATACCTGTATACCTAAAGGAAATGAAAACTTTTATCCACAAAAATATTCATAGAATTTTACTTGCAATGAATCTAGACATGCTCCAACGTGATCAGTGCATGACTAGAACAGACTGTGCCATGTTCACACAATGGAACACTGTTCAGCAGTGAGAGGAATGAATTACTGAACGAGTCACCCTCACTATGGATGATTCTCAACATACTATGAGAGAGAACTAAGCCTTACAGAGGTCATACTGTATGATGCCATGTACATACATGGAAGAGGGGCAAGAACTATCTGTGGTGGGAACAATCAACACTGTGGATGCCTTTGAGAGGGAGGAAAAACAGAACTTCTGCCATGATTGGAATGCCCTGAGTCACGGAGGGAGTTGGCACTCACATAAGTGTGTACGTTGTTGAAGTTCAATAACCTGTACACTCGGGGAGGAGCAAAGATGGCAGATAGATAACAACTGGCTACAGAGGCTCCCTGAGATAGTCAACTTAGAATTCAACATAATACAGAGTGGGGAGCCCCAAACAGAGGAAGATGAATTCTCTTGGCCCAAGAAGAAATTAGGGCAACTTGCCAACCATCCAAGGTCCTGCCGCAACTTGCTGGGGTCCTGCCGTGACTTGCCAAGCCATCCGAGGTCCTGCCACTTTGACTCACTGGAGGCGCAGTTACATTGAGTTCAGAGGTCAGCAAGCTGAACAGAGGGCTCAGTTGGCAGGGTGCCTACATCAACCTGTGGTGAGTGACGGGAGTGGAGCCATTCCATAAATAGGGGGGATCCAGTGGACAACATTCTGGGACCTGGCAGGACTGGCAAGTACAAGGAGCAGCAGTGACTTCAGTCAATTGTTCCCTTCCTGAACGGGCTTGGTGGAGTGCGCTAGGCCTGGGTCATGTGACCTGGCTGAGATCCAATAGGTTATTCAAGGTCAAGTTCCTGCAGCAGTGGCACACACTAACCACACGGACCCAGTGGGGCCTCAGAGATTTGGCTGGTCTGGAGGCGAGGCAGCATAAGGTGATATAGAGCAGGCCACAGCAGCTTGACTGATCCACTGATACACTGTCCCTGTCTGCAACTCACTAGCACACAGCAGGGTGAAGGGTCATCTAGCCAGCACACTTCAGAAGAATTGTAACCAACAAGAAAGAAACTGGGGCCTCCTGGAAGAAGCAAAAAAGATGGGAAGAGGAAGCAACAACAAAACTTCCCCAGGCCCCAACCCTGAAAACATTGACCCAGGACAGGTAAATACAAAGGAGAATGAGAACAGCAGACATGCAATATCAGACACAGCACCAGTGGACATAAAGAGATATCTTCGGGACCTCATAGATGAGTTCAAACGTGAAATATTTAGCCAAATAAAGCAAGATATAAGAAGATTAATAAAAGAGATACTAAGCACCCCTCAAGCAGACACAGATAGAAGAAGGGAGGCACTCAAACACAGGAGAGAACCACTTGGTGAAGAATATAAAAAAATATAGAATACTTGAAGCAGATTCAAAGAGATCACCAGGAAATTAAAAACTCTATGGAAAGATGGCAAATCAGCTTGAAAGAAACTAAGGATAGATTATCCAAACTGGAGGACAATTTTGCAATGTGGGAGTATAAAAGGGAAAACTTTTTTAAAATAACAAGGAAACAAGCAGTAACAATACAAAGGTTAGAAGACGACAAAAGGATCTATAACTTAAGAATAAAGAATGTGAATGAAGAAGCTGGGGTACAAACAATGGAACACAAAGGTTATTCACAGAAATAATTAAGGAAAACTTCCCAAACATAGGAAAAGGAAATGATATTCTGATATATGAGGCATACAGAACTCCAGCCACCTACAACCAAAAGAGAGCTACACCAAGGCATATAATAATCAAGATCCCAGAAATTCAATATAAGAAAGAACATTAAAAGCTGTTAGAGATAAGAAACAGATAACCTACAGAGGAAGGCCCATCAGAATCTCAAGGTTGTAAAGATATGTAAACTTTGACAAGTCAATTATTACCTGCAATAGTAGGGAAGTCATTTTCAGTTCCACTTTGGTTCTGATACCAGTGTATTCTGTCTTCAAGAGACATTTACACCACATATTGGCTTCTGGTACAAAGAATATAATGTGTCTTGAATGAGGGCCCCGGATTTCCCAACTGCGACCCCCGCTATCATGCTGCCTGCATCTGAGTAAAACTCATGGAGTAAACCCACTGCCTCGTTCTATTTTCTGTAGTATCAGTGTCTATTTTCTGTATTGTTTTCTGTAGTATTGGCTTGCTGGTTATAGGTTGTGATATGTGATAAATACCATGGCTGTAGATGAGACATTCTATGGATCCACATATGGTATAGTGGAAGCAGGGCAGGCAAGGAAGACAAAATAATATAACAGTAAGACTGTTTTCCAGTGAGGAAAAATAAATTGTGATCTCTGGAGAAAGGGATGCAAAGTGGTTAGCCTTTCTCTACTCAGCCAGCAGGGAGGCCAATTTGGAATTCTCTTATGAGAACTTGTGGCAGACTGTATGTTAGAAGCCGTTCTGGAAGTCCTTTTTCAGAAGTGTCTTTCATTATGATAGTAATTGCTCAGATCTAAAGAGAACATTGTATTTGTGCATTCACCATTAAACAAGCACCGATAGGGCTAGAGAAAGAAGCACTTAGAACACAGGTCTTCTTGACCAGCTAACAATGAACAGCCTCCTCCATGGAATGCCTCTGGTGGCTACGGGCTATGTATGTATTTATAGGCTGTGTCTGTTCCCAGAGGCCCATACTGATGTCCTTGCTGTCAATATCCAAATTTCTGGCCAACTATGAGACATTGTCTGTAAATCTATAAAGATATACAAACCAAAGAAAGATTTTGCAAACTAAACCTACACTCATCAGCAGGATTTTTTTGTTTCTGTTTTTTTAAATTAAAATTTTTGTTATATTAAATATATGTAAATTATATCATTTTAGCTGTTTTAAGTGTAATTGTTCTATAGCATTCTGCAACCATCACTACCATCTCTAGAACCTTTTCATTTCCCCTAATGAAACCACATACTCACTAAACAGTAACAGATTCTTTTTTCTTAAGACAGGATCTTACTGTATACAGGCTAGTCTTGAACTCACTATGTAGCCCAGGCTGGCCTTGAACTCACAGTGATCTTTGTGCCTCAGCCTCCCGAGTGCTGGGATTGCAGCTGTGTGCCACTGTGCCTGGCCACTAAACAGTACCTCTTGAGCTGGGAGTGAGTTCATCTGGCAGAGAGTGTGCTTAGCATGCACACAAGACCTTGAATTCAATCTCAGAACCAAAAACCAAACCAAACCAAACCAAGCCAAAACAAAACACCCAAAAACAAAAACACCCTAAAAAAGTAATTCTTTATTCTTTCTCCTC